ATATTGTCCCAACCAGTGTTTTAAATACCGTACCGGTAATCATACCAGACGAGCCAATGGTACGCGGTTCAACTGGTTTAACTGGTTGTACCGTCTATTTTACCTGTTTCAATAAATATTACAATTAATTTGTTATTATAATATAAATAATATACAAAACTAACTTTAATTAATACTAAAATTAATTAACATCTAATAACAATGTAAACATTATTAAAAGTAAGTGTAGAACTTTCAATTTATATAACTAAATTAATGAAAATATAATAAAAAAATTTTAATTTTTTTTTTGGTAAAACCGGTATTTTCTGGTATGAAACCGATATAAATCGGTATTTTGGCCAAAACGGTATTTTGAGTGTAACATTGGTACAAACCGGCGCGGTACGATACGGTACAGTATTTAAAACATTGGTCCCAACCACTCGTTCTCTATGTTCTTTCCATTCAAAGTAAATAACTAGATCTAAATTTTTTTTTCAATATAATTAAACAATATCAATCAATCATTCTTATACAGGACATCAACATCAAGTTGTATTCAATCATTTTAACTAACTATCACTCCACATCATCTCTCTCCTACTTTTATATCAAATTAACTTTAATTATTTTATTCAGAAGATTATTTTAATATAAACTTAAAATCTCACTAACAACTAACTATATCAACTTTTTCAAAATTAATCATAATTAACTAAAAAGTTTATTTGAAAGGATATATTTATATCAAACACGCCCTTAAATTAAATGCCCATGGCCAGCAAACATTCGATCAGGAATTCTATGATGCCCAATGAGGCACCATAAGGCATAACATAAATCTGATGTGGCATCCTTAGCATCCTATGTGTAAGATTTACGTGGCAATAACATTGCAAAAGAAATAGAAAAAGACAAAACGAATGAAACACAAGGTAGAAAACAGATACGGGAAAATTTTTGAAAGGTAGAGAAAACAATCTTAGTGAACTTTTTGAACAAATTAGAAAAAGTAGTTATTTTAAAAATAACATTGAATTAGAGCAACAATATAACAAATAAATATTCACAGACACTACAAGAAAATGATGAAATTCCAACGGAATTTTATTTTAATAGAATTCCAGCGGCAATTCCAATGGATATTTCAATGCTATCATTTTCGTTGGAATAATTCCAACGGAAATTCCAACAAAAATATTCCGTTGGAATGAATTTTCCATTGAAATTCTCGTTGGATTTTGACGATTCCAACGGTAGATTTTCCAACAGTGGTGAAAATAAAAATTCCAACGGAAATTGCATATTCCAATGAAAATTCCTACGGTCAAAATCCGTTGGAAATATAGCCGTCGGAATCATCAAATTCCATCTAAATCTCCAATGAAAAATACATTCAAACGAAATATTTTCGTTGGCATTTCCGTTGGAATCATTCCAACGGAAGCTATACCACTGGAATATCCGTTAGAATGTCCATTGAAATATATTACCATAGGATTTTCTGTTGGAATATAACATTTTTTTTATAGTGAGAGAATAGATATTCTAGAGAGGCCGTCGACTCAATATATATTTAAAAAAAATCTAAAAACATCAATCTGAATTCTGAACAATCTGAAGAAGATTAAGCTGTTTTACTTTCTTAAAAATCACAAGCTAGCACAATAATGTAAAGACGAAATCCTCTCTTGTCAATAACCAAGAAATCACCATAATTTATAGTAATTTTTTTTCATTTATTTTTATTATCTATTAACTGTGTCTTGTTCTTTTACACTTTTGTGCTTTTAGTTTTTTTTTTTAATTATTATTAAGTATATCTATTTTTAGTGATTTTAGCATATCTATTATATTTTTTCATCTTTTCTTTCAGATTTTTTTAAAAAAAAAATGGATGATAGATCCTTCATCATTTTTGTACCAAATTTCTTCTATTTCTATACTTCCTATTTTATTTTATTTTATTTTTTGTAAAAATTTTGTAATTTCAAATTCATTTAGAAAGTCCCACATTTTAGTATTTATTTCCTACCTTTTTCTTTATGCCTTTTTCCTTTTCATAATTGATTGCCAAGATGGACATTACATTTGGACGCGATAGAATTCTTGAACATTCGAGTGTCTCGAGACGGAAACTGTAAGGGTTTAATGCACCAAACCCCTTTGTATTATACGAAATCTGCGCGTTTTCCCCCTGTATTTTAAAAATTGCGTCAGACCCCCTTCTATTAAGGTTTTGTATGAGCGAAACACCCAAAATCGTCTGACGCCCTTCTAAATTTTGGGTGTTTCGCGCATACAAAACCTTAATAGAAGGGGTCTGACGCAATTTTTAAAATACAGGAGAGAAACGCGCAGATTTCGTATAATACAAGGGGGTTTTGTATATTTTACCCGAAACTGTAAGCAAAGATTTTTGGAGAAAAAAGAATATAAAAATGAGTGGCGTGTATTGGCCCAAGGCCCATGGCACAAAAGTCACTGTCAGCAGATCTTCCCTTCATTTCATTCTTCAACACACAATTCTTTTTCTAACCTCACTTATATAGTCGCTTTAACTAACAGAAACAAACAAATTCTGTACAATCAATCGCGTCTATAAAAATCTCAATAAAATAGCAATTAACAGCTGTTGCATTCTACTGAGAAGTTTGGTGGTGAAGGCGTGAGGACGGAAAAAAATGGCGGCTGTAGCATCGTCTTCACTCACAGGGCTGGCCAAAACTTCCGGGCTTCCGATTTATTCGTCTTTCGAGCTAAATGGGAAAGGCAATTTGCATTTCAAGGCCGCCATTAGCTCGTCGAGATCTGAATTTTTGGGGGGCGGCGTGTGTGTGAATTATGAAAGAAAAGCTGAAAATGGCAGGGGAAAGGGCAGAATGCGGTCTGCCCGCGTGGTGTCACCGAAGGCGGTTTCAGATTCGAGCTCTTCCCAGACGTGCCTTGACCCTGATGCCAGCACTGTGTGTTCTTTTTCTCTTTCTGTGTAATGTGGTGCTTTGAGGAGTACTTGGGTTTTTTATTTTGTTTTAATCCGAATGGTGTGATGCATTTGCTGATCTTGTGATGCTGTTTTTTTGAATTGAATTTATGATTAGATTCATTACATATATAAGGTCTAGGTGTGCTTGGTGAGTGTTGAATGAAAATGCTCGTCAGCTTATATCCACCTAGAAGCAGTATTTATGCAGCTGGAAATTGAGAATCATTCATCTGTGTCCTCTTAATCTTGTTGATAAGTATATGCATGGTGAGGGTGTATCATGGTTCAGTGCACCTTTGTTCAATTAGTATACAAATTATAAAGGATTCCAACAGAAGGAAGGGGTATTCTAAGGGAACCAAGTGACACGGCTGCTGAATTTGTCTTTAGCATAATGGGATGGTTACATCCTGAAATTTAGTGGTGTCTTTCATTATTTTTGTGAGTTGTGTAAACTTCATCCTGTGCTCGGCAATGACATTTTGAAAAAATGACACAGTTCAAATTATTTGGAAGTGTTGGGTTTTACCTCAGTTGGCCTACTTAGATTAGAAACTGAATGTGCATGAAAAAACTTGAGGGATTTTTTTTTTTTTCACAAGAACATGTCACCTCTGAAACTAAATTTATAACTGCTGCAAACTTGTTTACAGGTGACAATGACTTGATTTTTATACAGTGATCAAACTGAATCAATCCTTTTGATATTTGCTCACACAGAGTGTCCTAGGGATCATACTCGGAGGTGGTGCCGGGACCCGTCTCTATCCTCTTACCAAGAAAAGAGCCAAACCTGCTGTTCCTTTGGGCGCAAATTATCGGTTGATCGACATACCTGTCAGTAATTGTCTCAACAGCAACATATCAAAGATCTATGTTCTGACTCAATTTAATTCTGCATCCCTTAACCGTCACTTATCACGGGCCTATGCCAGTAATATGGGTGGCTACAAGAATGAAGGTTTTGTTGAAGTTCTAGCTGCCCAGCAAAGCCCAGAGAATCCAAACTGGTTCCAGGTAAAAATAAAATGAAAGCAAGAAACAATCATCTTTCTTGTCTGACTTAATATTTTCTTTTCTGCTCAGTTATTTTATTTCGGATTATTTGGATTGGTTAGGGCACTGCTGATGCAGTGAGGCAGTATTTATGGCTTTTTGAAGAACAAGATGTTCTTGAATATCTAGTTCTTGCCGGGGACCATTTGTACCGGATGGATTACGAGAAATTCATACAAGCCCACAGGGAAACTGATGCAGATATAACAGTTGCGGCTTTGCCCATGGATGAAAAACGTGCCACCGCATTTGGTCTGATGAAGATTGATGAGGAAGGAAGGATTACTGAATTTGCCGAGAAGCCAAAAGGAGAACTACTCAAGGCAATGAGGGTAATAAACTGCAAACAAGCACCATTTCTTGTGTATATAAAAATATTAATTATTATTGTCATTACTATAATATGCATTTTGTTTGCCTACCTTTTGTACTAATTTTGTGGTTAATGATTGTGCAAGGTGGATACAACAATTTTGGGTCTTGATGAAGAGAGGGCAAAAGAAATGCCTTATATTGCGAGTATGGGCATCTACGTTTTCAGCAAGAATGCTATGTTGAATTTGCTTAGAGAGAAATTTCCGGGAGCCAATGATTTTGGAAGTGAAGTGATTCCAGGGGCCACTTCAATTGATATGAGGGTAGAGTCATATTTCACTAGCAATATTGTATAATTGTATTTGTTCCATGTTCATGCATTAAAGATTTGTCTCTTGATTGAAAATGAGTGGGAACAAATATTTTGGTATAGTCCACATTTGAGCTATAGAACATATTTATTTTTATTTTTTCTCTTGGATGATTTAATTTTTATGAGTTAGAAGTATCCTCTATAATCTGTATTAATATTGGAACTTCATGCTTTGGCCATTAGTATGCTACTGGAAAACAATGCTGTTTCATAAAAGAAGCAACTAGGCAGTTACACGTATACTCTGTTTGATCAAATACAATAGCCTTGTTAACGAAAATTCTTCTGCACATACATATGGAGAAGTGTTGTATGTGATACTATTCTTCTCTCTCTCTCTCTCTCTCTCTCTCTTTTTTCCCAATTCCTCTAATCATTGTCTTCCTTTACAAAATAATACTTGTCTTCTTTCAGGTCCAGGCCTATTTGTATGATGGTTACTGGGAAGATATTGGGACTATCGAAGCATTCTACAATGCTAATTTAGGGATTACCAAGAAGCCCATCCCAGATTTCAGGTGAATTGGATTTGATGGGCTAATCATAGCATTCTCTAGTTTCTACCCAGTTCTCATGCGCCAAATCCATTCCATTTTTGTTCTGTTTTTCCAATTATATATGCTTTTTGCTACACAATAATGCAGCTTCTATGACCGATCGGCTCCAATCTACACGCAACCACGTTACTTGCCACCTTCCAAAATGCTCAATGCCGATGTTACTGACAGTGTCATTGGTGAGGGTTGTGTCATAAAGGTGAGAGTTTTCATTGGATTTCCAACACTACATAAAAACTGATTCAAAATTTTAATTATTTTAACACTTTTCAGAACTGTAAGATTCACCACTCTGTGATTGGCCTGCGCTCATGCATATCGGAGGGTGCAATCATAGAGGACTCGCTGTTGATGGGAGCCGACTATTATGAGGTAAATTTTGCTTGTTCACTCAGCAATATTTATTCATGACGGGTTAGCTCAGTCTTTTTAAAACGTGTGCTTCAAATATAATAAAAGTATGATCAATTGCTTCATTGCTTCATGCACCAGACTGATGCTGACAGAAGATACCTCGCTGGTAAAGGAGGGATTCCGGTTGGAATTGGCATGAATTCTCACATTAAACGGGCAATTATCGATAAAAATGCACGCATTGGAGACAATGTGAAGGTAAATTTTGTTTACCATGCTGTGGTGGAGTTCTGTATAGGTGTGAAGTCTGAAATTTCATGTGATAAAAGATTTCTTTGCATTTCAAAACCTTTTGACCTATCATCCACTGCTTTTATGACTGATTATACATAAAACAGATCATTAACAGTGACAATGTGCAAGAGGCGGCAAGAGAGACAGATGGTTATTTCATCAAGAGCGGCATTGTGACTGTAATCAAGGATGCACTAATTCCCAGTGGAACAATTATTTAAAAAAGATGATGAAGTCAAGTCTGGTAACACTACTGCACAAAGCAACATTTATGTTTCATCAAGCTTACTTCTGACTGGAGAAGGAAAAAAAATGTGAAGTTGCATCTTAGACGAAAAAGAACCATCCAATAAATTTAGCTTATTCTGTGATGTTACTGAAATGCAAGGATATGATGAAGATATTTGGTGTTTAAATGAGTTTGTCTTGAAACGTATCTGTTTGCTCAATTGTTGGCCAAATGCCATTAACTAAACATAGGTATAGTCTTTGAAAAAATTACCTGGTGCACCATGCTTAGTAAATAGCAAGTTTTTTTCCTTAATTATTGTGTAATTTTTTTATTACCAAACTAAACTTTCCTTTCCACTTGAACTTGATTTTTATTTTCTTAATACCACATTCACATTATATTCATCTTCTCCATCCCAATTAAACTCATTCACCGGCGAGAGCTTGACTAGCAGAGACGACTGCGCGACCAAAGGTTTTCGGTTATGTTTGGTAGACAAATAAACTATAAACTAGTTTATTTGGTTATCTTATATATATTATAGGTTTAATACAAAATTAATTTAATTAATATGTATTGAATAAACTGATCGTGAATTAAATTAATAAAAATGAACAAAAATATTTTATTTAGTATACATATTTAGAAAAATGAAAAATGAAACCTAGAGTCGGGTGAGCCTAGCCCTGTCTAGGCACCTGAATGTGAGTACCTAATTCTCAAAACAACAATATACTATGTTCGACATATTTTTTAACTTGATCTAAG